GTTATCAGAGCATCGGATTACCCCTATAGGCGAAGTTTCATCGAAAATTAAAATTTTGATTTTTTGGGGTTGTAATAGTGGAATAGTACCGATACTTTTCTCACCTACATTTCGCTTCTCAGGTTTTCGTCATAGAGAGAAGAGAAGAACGTCCATTTCTTTCCCGGAAATAACCAATCTGGCCTGGATATTTTTATTATCGATGCAGTGTACTCGACCTTTATGAACCGTATATGAGCTACCGTCGCTCAACCTAACTTGTTTATCATTGATCATTGATTTTGCTCGAATTAATCATTTCAGCCAAGGATGAACCGTGCCTTAGCTTCTCGTTTTCTGGCCTTGAGACGTGTTCTTACACAACAGCCAAAACGTCTTGGATCTGGTGGTCACCACGAGGTACACTAGTTATCCTGAAGTCACAAACATTGATCTGCCTAAATACGAATTCATGATAGGAAATCGAATCAAAGGCTGTTACGAAGTTTCGTAACTGTCTTTAAGGACATCATTGGATGTCAATGTGTGCTGTATATACAGGAGAGGGTAAAAAAGATTATTGTCTGTGGAAAGCTTTTCCTTCGATTTAACGGTTGCACAACACAACAGTGTAATTATTTGCAGGTTCTGAATCCTGGACCACCGGTGACTCTCGACTATATGCCTGTGCCCTTCCAGCCCTATAAGAAGGTGTATGCAGAGTTGCAATCGAAATTCAACACTTATTTAGCAGTCTCCGCGACATTATTCGTTATATCTATGGGACTGGTTGGTTCCGTTCTTGGACGTTTCAGGAATTCTTTTCGTCTTGAGAGGGTACCAGCCTCCTCATGATAGTTCTTTGCTTGGTTTTCTGTCATTGGTTCTTCCAATACTTGCGATGCTTTAAAACTAATTTTCAAATAACCAGACNTAAGCGCTCATCGCCCTCATCAGTATAAGTCATAGGATGAAAAATCTCTTTTACACGATTATGATGGAGTACTAGCGATGCTTAGCGTCACAATCACTTGTGAGGATGGATGCCACGCTGAACATTCATCACCCATTTCATTCTACTATTCCAATTTCTCATTACGTTTACCCTTTCCCTACTTTTCCATAGCTGGTTCTTGAATTTTTTAAAATTGGATAACCGATTAAATCTAGTTTTTTTACAGGCCGTCTACACAGATTTGTTCGTGTTTGAGGCCATCCGTTCGCCATTGAGCTATCGAAACCGTCACAAATAACTTTTATACACCTATAAATGTCACACTTATTTCATTAGATTCGTTGCATTCGTTGATTCGTTTGAATAAAAGTAGCGTTAGTTTTCTTTATCTTATTCTCAGGTCGTTGGCCAGCGAAGTACTTTGCATTTTTTGTTGCGATCAGTCGTTACCAGTTTCAGAAATTTTGAATAATTGTTCTCTGGCTTTGAAACAGTCTTTTTTCCGTACACAGAAATTACTGGAATCAGTTCATAAAATCATCTACCTTGTGAAAAGTCGGTCTTGTGCTGGAAACGCGGATTCCGTGTGTAACTTTCCTACCTAGGTCTAGTTTCAAATAGTACTAGCGAAGTCTCCCTTTGCGCAGTATTTCCTTCACTTTCTATTTCTCACCGCTTTCCGTTTTACTCCATCAGACTGCCTTGTTTACTATCATATAAGATCTACACTTGATGTGCTCGAAATTATCTGACCCTAAGTAGAAGTGCGACTCCGCAGATCGGCGCGATTGCGATTCCCTCAGAATGGGCGCTCCTTCTACTAGAACCTTAAGTAGTACCTGCCTTATGATATGGTTTTTAATTGTTCGTGAACCTCTATTGCGAAAACAGAAACTGATTCCCTTACATCGCAGAAATTTTCCAAATTACTCTCCACATAATGATGTTATAATTCATCTTTTCTAAAATGAAAAAGAGGAAACAGTCCGAAAAATCTGGTTCATGATATTCTGCTGCTCCTCAATTACATGCCTTTTTTAATTCCTGAACGAAACACTGGAGACGCGGACAAGCAAAAGATTGGAAAGAGATGTGCTTTCGGAGCTACTATTTTATCATAAGAAAACTCATTTAACACGTTGACGACGAGCCAATTTCTTCGTGTCTGTCTCGTGGACGACACAGTTTCTTTCTTGGAAATTTGTTATTTCTTGAAAAAATCAGTGATTACAGTCAAAAACATTTGAGATCCGCAAACCTTCCAGCAGTATTCAAATTTTGCCCAAGACTCGCGGCTACTCGGCGTAATTTCAAATTTGG